AAATGGTTTGCATTTTTCGTAAAGCAAGGAAGAGGTGTGAGAATGGAGATTGATGTAATTCTTCCAACCCCTGTTCATAAATCCAGTGAGAGCCAGTCACAGCTCCCTGCGAGGGTACGGGAACTGAGCCTCTTCCCCTGGCTCCCAGGCCAGCCCTGACAGCGGCTGCCGGCTGGAGCAGAGCACAAACGGCAGCTACCTATGCCAAAGGCAAAACTCATGTACAAACACGATGCGCTCAGACTGAGCAGCCTGAGCCCTCCTGGACTGGCAAGCAGAGGGCTCTGCATGAGGCATGATGGTGCTTCTCCAACAAGCTTGTCCCTGTGGCAGCCAGCATCATCCCACACATGCTCCCTTGCCTTGGGGAGATGAACACAGTTATAAGGGGGCAGCACACACAGCCTGCCTCTTACAGAGCACATAGGTCTTGTGGAAGCAGGAGTCCTGCACTTTGCCTTGGCTTTGACGGAGAGACACCGCTCTCCTGCAGAGACAACGCCAGCTCTCGAGAAGATCCCAGGTGAGAGCCACGTCCCGTGACTCTGGCATGTGTGCCTGCTTCAGGATCCCTCTCAGCTGGGATGGCACGGACATGCCAGGAGCATCACTTTGTTGGGCTTAAGCTCTTCTGCCGGCTCTCCCATACTTGCAGAGCTCTACAGCACACAGGATGGAAACCAGGGCTAGGGGAGAGAGGAGTGAAGGGAGAAGGAGAGGTGGGCTCTGCCTTCTTCTTTGGCCTTTCCTTCCCAGACCGTTGTCAGGATCCTCAGACCCGCCTCCAGAGCACTCACAGCCCAGCGACCTCCCGTATCCCCAAAACATGCCCTGCACACCATCTCTGGCCCAGACTCCTATGCACCTGCCTGGGGACACAGCTCCCTTTCGCCCTTCTCTCACAGCTTGCCAAGGATTATTTAATCTCACTTCAGAAAGCTTTGACTTCCAAACAGGGGATGCTCAGGACTTCCCAAAAATGCAGAGCCGGTCAGATGTCCCATTACAGGACCATCACCAGCCACCCAACTAGCTGTAAGCAGCGGAGTGAAACCAGTCCCTGCACTGCCGCTGGCTGTAAGCACCAGATGGAGCATTCAGCCCGCTCTGACTCGGGGTCTCACTGCCGACCCTTGGCTTCCCTAAAACATACCCGTTCACTAGAAGGCGGCTCAGCAAGATCATTCTGCACATCCCTGCCACCCACCTCCTCCTCTACAGCTTTTTCCCGAGCTGTGGGGCCAGGCGAGTGTGCAGCCACAGAACTCAAAGGAGGCAGTCTGGAAGCAAAGCAGCAAGATTGCTGCCCAGCAGCCTCTGCTGCTTGAGGCTGCGGCGGCTGACTGTATCTCTCTGCCTTGTTACAGAACAGCCTGCTTCTTGTGTCAGTCTCTAGTAGCATGTCCTTTAACCACAAGTGAAAACAACCGATCCCCCACGAAGGCACATCTGCTCCAAGTCCATATTACAACAGGGAAAAAAATGACACCTTCAGCTATATAAACCAATAAAGACTGTCTGATTTGGTTTGCCCCTGTTGCTACCCAGCAAGCTCCCCACTGGGTTAAAGACTGGTGACATCTGCTAAAAAAATGTCAAGAGTGAGGAGAACAAAACCGGGTAATGAATCACACCAAGTGCTCAGTGCAGCTGGAAGCCGGAGGGGGCGAGTCCACCCCACTTCGCTCGCCGGCCGACGGGAGCCGGGACCACCGGACGAGCTCTGTGCAGCCTGCGGCTCCAGGAGATGCACACAGGGAGGTACAGCAGCAGGCACACACCTTGCAGCAGGTACCAAGAAATGGTGCGACGTGGCAAAAGACAGGATGTGAGGGGCTCGATACGGAGGTAGTCTCTCTCTGGCTCTCCGAAGTCGGGGAATGGTAAAGTTAACTCTGCCCCCTTGTGCATCTGCATCATGATACAAGCCATAATTAGATGACATGCTTCTCTTCTTCACATTAGAGGCTAGCATACATGATCCACCTCCCTGTCAAGCTGCAGCGTGGAGCCTTGGGACGCCTCCATGGACAACTTGCACCCACCCGTGCAGAGGGACCTCGTGCTGAGCAGGATGCGGAGGGGTTATGGATGCTCCTGGGGATGCCCTCAAACACACAAAGACATTGGAAGTATCTGTTTATGCCTCTCCAAATCTGCAGCCCTGAGACTATTATAAAAGCAGTTTAAATGGTCTGCTGAGGACAGCATTACTGTCCAGCTTACAAGCTCGAAAATCACGACTCATCCTTCCAAAACGATGGGGGTTGTTTTAGAAATCACGTGCTCTCTTCTAAATGTGAACTGGCAAAAGCTGGGGAATTTCTCAGCTCTGTTTCTGATCTTTCCAAGGAAACATTTAATTCTTTTCTCTGTGATTTTGGGAGCTTCTTGTTTCTTAGCCAGACAATCTTCTCCAGTTTAAACCAGAGATTCTTCTTAATCACAAGCACCCAAGAACTGGTGCTTTGGGACAGGGCTGTGACAGAGCTGTGTGGTTTCAACACAGACGGCCTCTCTCCTGACACAGCTGATAAAATACAAAATTGCTACCCTACCTGCTTTAATGCATATATTTATCTATGCAGTTGTGGATTTGATTTAGAAAAAAAAAACCCAAACAGATGTACGATCACAGAGTTAACTAACAACAGCATATTCAGCAAGTACCTGAACACAGGGAGTTTTATACTCCCACCATCGGACCAGTCCCCACATGATGGAAATTGGCCCCACAAACCTCTTGCAGTTTTTCCCCGTTTCAGTAAACCATGCACTACTCTGCGACCTGACTGGACATTTCCACAAGTGCATCCGCAGACACCCAACCCTGTTTGCACAGCTCGGGCACCAGGCTCCTCGCCCAATTTTAGCCAGGTTTCCCCAGGGGTTTGATTAAGACAGGAGAAGGCACAGGGATGCAGACCTGCGCTGGCTGCAGGGCGGTGCTGGACCCACACGGGTGCCACAGGAGACAGGGACAACGGGTGCTCTGCAGCAAGGGGCAGGAGCCTGACCTGCTGCCAGGCAGGATGGCAGCACCCCCACCAAGAGCAAATGGGGACCCCCAGCCCCCAGTGCTACCACGGGACAGGCAGCCACCCCTCCTGCAGGTGCCCTCCACAGCCGCGACCAGAGCATCACTGCTAAGGCTCTGGTGTCCCCTCTGCTACCACATGCACATCCGCAGTCTTGGCCTCAACTCCTCTCTGTAAGCTCTTACTAAACAAAAGGGATGCTCTACATTAAAGGCACTTTTGTAAGACATCAGTGCAGAATTTCTCCTTTTCCCTTCCACTCTATCCCCAACATCCTACTCTCCAAAGCAGTGTTTTCATTAGGAAAGTGCCCAGGACACAGAATGAAACATGGCCATAAACCCTGCAGCAGATCTGAGGAGCACTGGCAATGTCCAACCCCAGCCAGAACATGCTCGTTTCCATGCCCTGGGCCAACAAAAGCCCCCAGCACTAGGGGGACCTGCAGAGATGCAGCATCGCAGACAGCTCTGCCGTTCATTTTCTATCATCTCGGACATTTTATATGTCAGGTGGCCACAGTGTCAACATAATGGTGACTCTTCCCCTTTTCACTGACAGGAGGGAGATGTTCCCGGGTCAGGAAGAGGGCCTGGTTAAAAACTGTGACACACCCCCAGTGCTTTCTGAAACACGCAGACAAGCTCCTGCTCCTTGAAGAGGTCCTGCGTCTGACCACTGGGTCACGCGGAAGGTCGCCGGGTGGGCTGTGACCTTGGCAAAGCCCTGCCAAAATGGGACTGAACCCCACCGCAGCTGATGGCGATGGGGGGCATTGGCAGCTCCATCACGTCGCATTCACACAGCATCGATGCTGGCCCTGTCCCATCCCTCCCAGCCATGCATCGACACGCACCCCCCTGCCAGAAAACAGCTCCCACTACCTTCGTCCCGCTTGCGCTTGTTGCTCTCGGTGCCCGGGGAGGCGATTCCCAGGATCCCACTGATGGAGTAGGACGAGCCGGCGGAGTCAGTGCTGACGGAGGACACCTGGGTCACAGAACCCGTGGAGGCTGCAAGGCAAGGCCAGGTGGTCAGCGGGCAGGACAAGGTGAATGCCAGCCTACCCAAAAGCCACCGGCCCCCAAAGCATGACCAGCGCAGGCTGGGGCTCTGTCAGCCACCACATCCCCTCCAGCTGGGGAAGGACCCCCACCCAGCCCAGCCCAGCAGCATGCCGCAGCAGCCCTGGGCAGGGGAGGGAGCGGAGGCATGGTCACCCCTCGTCTCCATCACAAGGGGCCAGGGCCGTGCGCTGCAGGATGGGGGGATGCTCTTCCTTTAGTGGTCGGTCACCCTGTCCTGAGCAAGGCATGGTGGAAAGGTGCATTGCTCGGGCCAGCAGACTCCATCAGGTGACACACCAGCCCGTGTCATCAGCAAGGTGGATGGAGCTGGCTGGGAGCACAGCCATGCAGAGGGAGGAGCCCCCACAAACGGGCTCCCCAGCGAGGTCCCGGGGCAGGCTGCCAGCCTCCCGGCACAGGAACCTCGTGGAAGCAGAATAGCCTGCACTCACCATGCTTGATTTGCTGCCTGCATCCTACTGGCCCAAGCCACCAGTCTCCGGCCAGCGAGGACCCCCTCAGACAGCTGGGGTTGCCCAGGGACGGCCAGCTGTGGGCCACATGGCTGAAAGGCCCTGAGGCTCTCCAAAATACGAATTAAATCAATTTTGCTTTAACAGAGCCCTGGAGAAAGGGTGCTGGCTGTGTTTGGAGGGGGGGGTCGTTCATCACAGCCGACACAAGCCTGGAGACGTTGGCCAGGCTGACAGGCAGACCGCGTGATGCTGTGGGAGTCCGAGGCTGTGCACAGGCAGGCAGAGGAGGCAGCACCACCATCATCTCCATCTGCTCACAGGCTGAGCCTGTACTGGCACATCCCCACATCCCAAAAAGAACCGTGCAGCCCCTGAGCATGGGGAGCTCCTCTGCAGGACCATACTGAAGACCCCCCAGCCATAGCCCACACGGAGCAAACCTGTGTCGGGAATCCCTTCTGCCTCTATCAACCCCAAGCCCTGAGAAACAAGATTTCTATTCTCTGTTCTTGTTTTCCTCAAGGAGAGACTTTTCCTCCTCTGAGACTGTTTTGGCATTTGCCAGAGAAAAAGGTTCGGGACACGGGGCTGCGGTATGATTTCTCTGACAAGCCCGCAGAGTTCATGCAGCTCTGCACCCACGCTCTGTGTCCCAGCACGCCCTTGCCAAGGGGGGTCAGCAAGCACTTCCCCATTTCACAGGTGAGAGCATGAAGGCAGAGAGCAACAGGGGCCCTCATCCCACCCCCGCTTCTGCCTAGGGAGCAAGGGCTTACCCCTGCTCCAGCGCTTTCATGGAACAAGGACAAAAAGAAAACAGCCCTGAGCCCTGACCGAGCCCCTCCATCCCTGCTGCGGCATGGCAGAGCGGCTGCCCCAGAGAGACACCGTCAGGCTCTTGGGAGGGCTGAGGATGCCCCACCAGCCGGGACACCCCTCCCAGGGACCCCCGCCACCAGCATCGCCTGCCTCAGGGCACAGCATCGCTGGTCTGCAGCTGAATTAAAGTTTCGGAAAGTTTTGCTACCTCTTCACTCAAGACTGCAAGTGCACAAAGAATTATGGAAGGGATGGTTGATAGATGAAAAAAACACATTCAAAACTACTTACTGACTAATGATGCAGAAAATGTTATGAATAAGTATCCCTTTCTTGATTTATTACTTTAATTATTTGGCATTCTATAGACCCCCATTAGTGGGGTTTTTTTGGTTTAGATTTCAATTTTCTGTCTCATGGTGAAAGCTATTTATCATAATAATCAGTAAAATTCAAAACCTTTTAACAGTATTTATAAAATTCATTTACTATGTTCAGCCCTTGGAGAATGACAAAGAAGGCGCATTAGCACGTGTGCTGAAGTGTTTTATGCAGAATTATCTGTCCATAAGAATGATTAAAAGTTCTTTAGAATATTTGTAATCCATTATGCTATTTTTTTTTTACATTAAAAAGAAAAAGTTTTCCTTACCTATGCTGTGACTGGAGGCTGGAACCTGCTGATTGGGTGGCTGCTGCACCTTCGTCCGTATGATCCTGTATGTAGTTGAAATGACTACTTAGCATTAAGCATGCAATTGCAGGGGGCATCAGACACTATTTTTTTCAGTTCTGGACACCTACATCAATACAAACATGCTTTTCTGTATATTATCTCCTCATCATCCACTGAAAGACCAAAGTTTGGCAGGTGGACCCAGGACCATGTTTTTGCTTCCAGCTCCTGCCATTAGGGACATTTGCATGACTGACTCCTACACGCTCCTTGGGATGCTGCAGAGTCTGGTGCTTCAGTCCCTTTAGGACCTAGTCCTCACCGCCCAGGAAAGGGATATCCATTGCTATTTGGGCACCCGTTGGGCCCAGCACCCCCTCCTCAGGGAGCTGGACACTTCTGGGTCCAGACATCCCAGCAGGCTGCGATCTGCACCCTTGGGTGCTGGGACACATTTCCAAGGCTGTCCCTAGACCGCCCCGGGGTACAGTACTCACACAGCTAAAGAATTTGGATAACTCGGAAAAAGACCTGCTGAGCCAAATTAATATTAAAACAAAAATGTGTTGAATTAAATGCTAATCTTAAAAGCTTAGTAACTACATTGTCATCACTGGGGACAGCCTCTGCTCTGATTTATAGATGTCAATCAGGAGAAATTCAGAGATGCAGAAAAACTAGAAGGCATGTGTTCTGTTGCAAGACAGAGGGCAGCTGCTAAGAAGAGTTGGGGAGGTGCTCTACCAAGTGCTCACCGGCCGATGCACTGTGAAAAAAGAAAAGACGGGGTCTGAAATGCCTCCGGAGAGAACACAGTTCTGCCACCAACTGCAGTGGAATAGAAGCAGTCTCAAAGGAGGCACACTGCTCACTTACCGCACATCTCCCTGCCTGATGCAGTCTTTACACAGTGGTAAAGCTGCAGTAAGCGCTTCTCCTCTCTTTACCTAACAAACTCCTCTCCCATTTCTGCCTGCCGTGAATTTGGAAGAGGGGAGAGGAGGGGAGGGAGGCATGAGAAGGAGCTGGCATGGGGATGCAGTCACGGGAACAAACAGCAGTTCCTTGCTCGAAAGTCACCCCGTGAGCCGGTACAGGAACAACCACCAGTGGTGCCTGGCCCCATCACAGAAGAGGACATGCTGCCGTCCCCTTCCCCGCCTGACCCTCTGCGGAGTGTGATGGAGGCTAGCGGAGGCTTGGTCTGTTAGTAAGCCAGCTCTCGGCTGCCAGCCCCAGAGCGAAGCTGCTGGGTGTTAGACATCTTCGGTGGATGGGTCCCTGGCAGCAAATTCCCAGCCACGGGCCGGAGCAGCCAGCCTGGTGCAGGGATCAGAGGGACCTGCGCAAGCAGCTTCAGTGGGGGAGCGCAGCCAAAGACCTGCGACCGTGCATGAGCAAGAGTGGAAATAATGCCCTGCACAAGGCCTCCTCGCCGTTGTGGCGAGGGAAGGCTGTCCAGGTCCTTCTGACACATAAACGTCTTCATCTCTGGAGGGACGGAGGACTGGAGCACTTCGAAGCAGCTGGGCAGCTCTCGGCTTATTTGAGCAAAACTAATCGCAATGATTAATTAAGCCTTAATCACACAGACTTGCTCCTGCTGCGGAACAGTGGCCTATTATTAATATTAATTAATGTTATTAATTAATAATAATAGTTATTATTCACTCATATACGAGGGCAGGAGCTCAAATTCATCTGCTAAAAGGCACCCTTGGCAGCGGGGATGTGCCAAGCGCAGTCTGCCCCAGTGGCCTCGCCGTTCTCCAAGAGCAGCAACAGCTCCCCTGAAGGGAACAGCACAGCCCCGGGAGATTCCCTTTCCCCACCGAGGAAGCAGGGATGGGGGGAGCAGTGCCACCCTCCCTGCAGCAGGACGGGAACCACACTGAGTGACTTCGGATGGGTTCAGGTCTGCAGCGACAGGGCAGCACCTGATCTGCACCGCAGTGGTGAATAAGGCCATCGTGCCTTCAGAGCAGGGGTCTGCATCCTTGGCATGTAACATCTCTACCAACAAAGCCTTGAAGTACAAAATTTTAAATATGAGGATAAATCCCACACACTGCAGCGTGGAACTAGGATGATTTAGCATAAAAGCCAAGTGTTTTGATGTGAATTCCAGGTTTCTTGTCATGATGGTTTGGTCTAGGTTTTCAGGATGTGCTTCTAGGCTGGCAAAAACTATTCTCTAGGTAAACAGATGGACTCAAAAAGATTGCATGCGTTTTTGAAAAGGGATTTCCTTTAAGAAAATGAAAAGATTTTAGCCACAGTCGCAAGCAGATGCGAAAGAATGAGATTTCCGGCCAAAAAACCTGGTGGTGGATCATGAAACAGGTTTCTGATGCAATGGTAGTGGGTGTGTGCACATTATCAGTGTGGAAACACACAAGGACACAGCAAGAGGTAGAATACGGAAACTGGCTCAAAACACGACTGGAAGCTACTTAGTCTCTCATTTTTCTGGAGCTACGACTGCCTTTTTAGTAGGTTTTTGCAGGATGCTTGAAGTCCTACTACACAAACGCAGGGCAGCTCACAGCAGCAATGCTCCTCACATGGCAGGGCTCAAGCTGACTTTTATGGAAGCAGAGCTTGCCCTTAGTTACTTGAGGACAGTCAGAGTGGGATCTTCCTTCAGTTTTCCTGGTGTCCATATTATTTCTCAAATCCATTTTAAAACTGAAAATGCCATGTCCGTAGGGTTACTGAATTCTGCTCTGGCGTCTCAGCGAGTCAGGAGCTCCCAGGCAGCAGCAAAGCTTGTGCGTGAACTGACCCATTTTTGCTCTTAAACATGCGAACATACGACTCAACGTTCAGTTCGGCAAGGCAGAGACACCACTCTCCGCTAACGCTGGGGAAGCCACTCCGGCTACTCAAGCGGCAACTCCATGAATGCAAATCAGGTTGGGATAGCCAATAAAAGAATATTGCATCAATTTATTTCACGTCCATGGACACAGATGGGACTTTATACCTAGCTGCATTCAAAGAATTTGCATGCAGTCGCGCAAGTGAAAGCCATCTCACCAGCGTGGTGAGGTCAAAGCCCGGCACAGAGCATACTCCTGAGCGAAAATGAAAGGACTCTGCTTGCCAGGGGTGTGGGCATGTGTGAGGCTGCCCAAGAGCTCTGCCTTCCAAGTATTAATCCCTGATTATTGGTCTGGCAGGGCTGGAGACGTAACAGAGTATTTCACCAGCTTTAGACATCCTGCAACTCAGAAGGAAGCAGGGGCATACAGAAGGTGTAACTGAGATGGCAGTAGGTTAGTATAGCTCCAGACCCCTCTGCGAGCCCAGTCCTGCCCGGAAAGGCTGGGGCAAAACTCCCAAACGCGGGACTGAGGCTCCAAATGAGGTTCTCCTGCATTTTTACAAAAGCAATTCAAGGCCACTTAAGTGCGTCCATGTAACAAGCAGGCGGCTGAGGCACTCAAAAGCTACTGACCAAATCCCCCCGGTGACAGTCACGCTGACAGCAGCAGGCAGCAGCCGCACAGTTCTGGGCCAACTTCAGCAAAACCGAGCAGGCGCCAGGAGGCCAGAAGTGGTACCTTAGACCCATGCCTTGGGTCCCCTCCTCCAGGCACCCGGGCCCCCCCTTTTCCCAGATGACTGCTGCCCCACTTGATGGCCATATGAGCTTTCCCCTCACAGGAAGCACATCCCACTGAACCCCCACCCCATCGAGCAGAACTGAGGCCTCATTCGGAGCAAACATGCAGGCTCATTACCAGCAAGGACTGCAACTCACAGACTGGGGAAAGGATGGGAAAGAAGCAAAGGCCAGCAGCAGAACCTGCCCACTCCTAGGAAATGCTCACAATCTGTGATGCTTTGGCCGCCGAGGTGAACCCACAGCTGCTCCCCAGCCCCAAAAGCATCACATGCAAGCTGCATTTTTTGCAAATAGCCCAAAACACCCAGTTCTACTAACAAATGAAGATTCAGTGACAGCGCTTCCAAGAAGTCCCTCCCCAGGACCAGAGAGATCTTTACCTGTTAATTGAACTGACGCTGGGCACGGTGTCATTGTCACACACTCGCTCAGCAAGGAGTCTATCCCTGATCTCCCAGGCAAACATGGTGGGATTTTGGCGTTTGTACTCTGCAATTTTTTCAACGACTTTGGGTGTGGCGACCTTTGGTTTTGATCCTCCAATCACTCCAGGCTTAATACTCCCGGTTTCGTAATACCTGAGACAACATCCAAAACAAAGCTTTCGTTATCACAAATAGACAGAGAACATGCTTTAAGATTTATAGAGAACATAATTTCAAGGTAACCAAACCCCAGCAAATCCTGAGATACATCTTCACTTTCACATACACATTTTCTGCCTATGTAGTGCTTTATCATCTAACAGATTAACTTATAGTAATTGGAACTGGGCTTCGGGATACAATATATATTTTTCTGTAATAGCAAGACAAAAGAAACAATGCAAGATTAAAGGGCATGCCGGGATCCAAAATTAACTGAAAATGTGTGTTATTAATCAGCGGTACTGGCAATAATAGAAACAAATCACACCAAAGACCACTTTTTGCAGTGGACTCTTTTGTAGTAAATTACTGTTTCTACAGAAATTCTCTGTTATTAATATCTACGGCTTGTTATTTTATAGTGAAATGAAGGCTAGGTATGTATTTTATTTGCACCTCCGGAATAAATATACCAGCATATCTTTTTCTCATTTTATGGTTTTAATATGCACATTATGGATTTAATAGTTAATATTTTTCAAAATGGATTCTTTTCAACATTATGTTTTTAGTAGTTTCAGTCACGAATTTCAAGGAAAAGGGAGCTGCCCACGCTCTGGAGGGGTCCAGCTGATGCGGGTGTTTGTTTCCGTGATCAGTCTTGTGGCCCTTCCTCGGGTACAGCACCTTTACCCACACCAGCAGCTCTGCTGATGCCACACCGGGCAAGGTGGACAACTGGATTCCTAGACCGACACAAATCTGCCAGATTTCTTCACACGTAAATCACGCAAGAGCAACTGCTTTTGGTAGCACTGCAACAATACATTGCAGCTGACATCCCCAGCCCCACAAGTCTCCCCTTTTAATAAATGAAGCCTTGAACATGCTGCTAAGAGCAGAATTCTTATCTTATCCATTGAGGGCCAGAACGGAGACCAAGAACAAAATCGTGCTCCTCTGTGCTGCGCTGTCAGGGAGCGCAATGCACGAGGCACTCTCCAGCCATCCACTTCTTTGTATCTTGTGAATTTTCTCATGACCAGATGAAAAACAAACCCCGTGCCTACCTGCAACAACTGCCCCAACCGCCCTGTTCAGGCACATCCTTTCTGTACAGAGCAGACCTCGACTTCGTGAGCCTTTCAACCAGACGCCCACCGAGCTGCACGCTCTCAGCAGCTTAAACACGTCCACTCAGTGCTCTGTGCCCGTATTTCTAGTAGGGAGCTCAGAAAAGACTCCCAAGTAAGAACACAAGACTGCTTATTAATATATTTTCTCTGCAGCTACTTGACATACCCATTATATGAAAAAAAAATTAATTCCGCAATCTTTCCAGCATGAGCAGAGCACAAACAGGCTGCGCAGCCAAAGTCTGTCTCACTGTAACACGCAACCATGTTCATCAAATTTCTGCCAGGCTACCAGTTTTCAGTCTTTCTGGGAGAGCTCTGTGTGCAGGGCCTAAAATTCCTTTAAAGAGACTGACACCATGTTGTTTGTACATGTTTTCAGATATTCTGGATGCAGATGTGGACTCAGATCTACCAGTCTGCATGAGCCATTTAAGCAATATTAGTAATGGAAAGCGTCAAGTGTCAGAGATGGATTAACCCTCCTGGTATCCCTAAACGCAGCCTAGTAGCGAGCTTTAGGGCAGGGGGGTGAATTACAGCTCCTCCCATGCTTCCCGTGGACATGACAAAATGATGGCAAACTTGAACCACAAACCTACTAAGACATTGCACCCCTGGCCTCAAAACCCTCGCTGCCGGCACCTCTCCTGTGAGGAGGGTGTAGAAAGAAGGCAGACAATACCGTGAACACTAGCAAACAAAAAGTCATAGTTTTCTTAGTTCCAGTCAAAACCATGGATTTTACAAACGTTCCTTAGTGTTTTTCTCCAACGGTGCCTTGCTGCACCGTGACACAGTGTCTGTCAACCACCCCACGATGCAGGACAGCCCAGCTGAGCAGAGCATCAGCCAGCAGCTTGGGAAACCGTGGCTGCGCACAGGAGATGGTGTTTCCCACGGTGACTCTGCCACAGTAGGTAAGCCGTGACGGCAAAGGTTCTCGCCGTCACAACGCTGCGGCAGTGGCGAGCTCACCGGGGGACAAAGCCCTGGTGCCCTCTGGACAGCAAGACCTCCACTCCCAAATCTAACCACTGCCTACCCACCCGTCCTCACCACCTCGAGCCTGCAAAGGCATGCAGACGTCCATGGAAAGACTTGCCATACACAGGAGGGTGCAGGATTGGGCCCGGACCCTTTTCCCCAGGCACCTGGGAGAGCTTGGTGCGACAGGACAGCTCTCACCCAGCGACAGCACTGACGCCTCCCTCCTCTTTGCCCTAGCAATGAAGCTGGGTGCAGCAAAGAGCGGGCAGACTGCACAGCACAGGCATCCCTGACTCCCGTCTCCATTTTAAAGGCAAGGATGGCTGCGGTCGGCTTCATTTTATGCACATCAGGTCCGGGTCTTTTGCTCCCAGCAAGTCTCCAATGCAGGTGAAGAGTGGGCACCCCTGCAGTACCCTCCTCTGAGGGGTGAGAGTTGCACTTGCACTGCAACTGCTGCTTCCCTGGCTCTGGATGTTTTTTAAGTCTGTATCGAGGACTGAAAAATTCCAACCATAAAATTCCAAATGTAAGTATTTATCATAAGGATTCCCGTTTTTCACGCACACACATGCACATGCAAAAACACACGCACACAGAGCTGCAATTACAGTGACATTTTACCCACTGTAATTATTAGTTATGAAAATAATGAGCTATGAAATTCCAATTTATTGTTGACAACTTTAATGACAAAGCTCTGGAGCCTCGCTCTTAGCTCTTAGTGCAAATACATCTAACAGTAAATCTATTCAAACTATCAAAGGTAAAACTATCGGACATTTGCCTGGTAGGTAAATAAATCACCCCTTTCTTAGCTGTACATTGGTCCTGATGGGAATTGGTGGCAAGTCTACTGCAGCGGAGAGCATCACCAGCCGAACCGCGCCAGCCAGGCTGGGAGCAGGAGCCTGCGCCGACAGCGGACGCAAAGCAATAACCGAGTGGAACAGCCTGTGATGGGCAGGCAGGTCTCAGATAAAGGCGATGGAAAGTTTTCCTCGCTAAAACAGTAAAGGCATCAATGTCCTCAAACCCACACCGGGAGGAATGCGTGTAGCTTGCAGGGGAATGCATCTCCCTGCAACAAAGGCATGAGAGAAAAAGCAGGGACGCTGGCTCGTGCGGCTCTCTAAAAGCACGCCATGCGGGGCTGTGGAGATGGTGTTCGCCAGTTACGGAGAGTATAGGTAAGAGGGGGCCATGGGGAAAAGAATGCCAAGCGCTACAAAACCAGGGGCCTGTGACTTTGCCAAGGCAGTCTGATTCTGAACACTTAAATGCCCACTGAGAGATCGTAAATGCTGCTAATCCAAGCAGATTCCCTGCGTGATACTACAAAAAAAAATTGTCTTAACAGTCATTGCAGCTATGCTATGTCCAGGAAAGCAAATTGGTTAAAAATTGGAAAAGATGTTAAAAATAAAAATAGTAAAATTCTAAACAATGACGTTAACTGCAAAAGTTTAGCAAATAGTTCAGGAATTAACTTTTCCAGATTATCAAGAAAAACATATTCTTACAAAAAAAAAATGTTTTCCTTAATATAAGCTGCTCAAGTATCTCAGAATACCTGGAATCCAAAACCATTTTAACACTATAATTTAGACAAATTATGTTCTGATTTGTTCACAAGATACAAAGAAGCAGGGATGGTATTTTTGACCTGAATCTATGTCAAATTTTAGAACAAAATCAGGAAATTGTATGGAGTTTTATTTCCTCCTGTCATAGTGGTCTGAGCAGCTCCAGCCTGAACAGAGGGCTACTCGCAAAACAGCCAAAATTAAGATGGTTAATAGTTACTCATGGTATTCTGTGCTCTAATTAAGAAAGTATTCCAGCAGAAGAGTAGAAAAAGACGCAGAAACAAACAGTGGGACAGATTGCAAAATACCCTTTGTGAATGAACGCACGGCAATGTCAATGTATATATATCATATATATTATTGCTAAAAGAGAGTCTTCTTCATAAAGCAAAACAAGTAACTTGCACAACTTCTATTTTTTTTCCATTTTACTGAAGATGACGCCCAGATTTCTCTACTTGTTCAGAAGAGACATGTGCGGGATATATGCCATATATACAGCAGATACACCCCACGTGGCATCTTGTGCTTTGTGTGATAATTACCTATAAGAAACTGTGAAAGAGGCAAATCAGAGATACGAATAGTGGCGCTTTTTTCCCACATCAGGCATATAAAACCATGAGTGGTCAGGAAGCCCCTTTCCTCACTGGATTGACTTCCTGAGGTTTCTACTATTCTCCATTTGTTTGCAGCCTTCAGTTAAAGGACCGGCATCGACACTTTCCTCTTGATGGACACAGAAGGATTCGTTGTCCCCCCTTTACCTGCCAAGTATTTTGCTGACGCAGCCGTGGCTGACGCGGAGCTGCCGGGAGATGTCACACGGCCGGACCCCTTGGTGGGCGAGCTCCACAATCCTTTGGCGAACGACATCTGGGAGGGGGCGGCCAT